ACATGATGAAGCCATGTGTATCAGGGACTGAACTTAAATTAAATCTCCAAAGTGCTTGTCTCGAGTTGCGCATCATTTGTTGCTTGTGAAGCAATGATTTCAGCCTGAGACTCAATCCCAGCAAGTTACATGTACATGTACTGTGGTTCGCTACTTTCAACACTGTTTAAGATAATCATGCTCTGGGGAGAGGAACATTTCACACCAACAGGAAATAGTTTAGGAATTGCAGCTCAAGCAAATTAATTGAACTGCTTGGTTGAGTGAAGCCATTACTAGAGAAATGGGGCTCCAACAGGTAGGAATCTAATCTGAAATACATGTACTGTACACACTTGTTTTAGTTTCGGCATAGAGTGCCGAAGTAAATAGGTCATGTGCACCACAATATGCGTGAACAGCAAAAGTGCCAACCGCCATTTGAACAAACACGCGCATAGTCCCTTAACGTGGCATACTTCAACAGTCAGTTGACTTTCTTCACACTGTATTGCCAAACCTCTTTCTTAAGTTACAAACTTCAACCTGATTTGGTTATCAACTGGTTCTATTCCCTTGATGATACACCGTGTTGAACTTCATTCACTATAAAACTTCATTCCAAATTCAAACCTGTTGGCGTCTGGAAACTGGGCTAGAATTCAGCTGAGTGTTCCTCAATGTGGAACTTGAAACAAATCTCAGAAAATCCCACATACATGTAAACAAGTACAAAATTATTTTAAGTTAACTTTTTAAAAACCTCTTTTCAATAGGAAGAAATATACATGCATGCTTTCTCTATTTTTTTGATCTGGGCTTCCATAGGCTATTGTTTCCAATTCCATTCAGTCATTTCACTCAGAATAGTTTGTACCTTGAATCAAAATCTTCTGAATTCACCTCCAAAAATGGTCCTAAAACTGTCTAATGCGCCCAGCTTAGGATCAAGTGTAGCTCTGCTGAGTGCAGCGTTGGTATTCCACTTTTTTTGATTTGGATGGGATTGTCATACTAATGCTCCACACCTGCGCATATACAATGTACATGTATTAAGGTGCAAACGGTTCTCAAAAATTCCAAAGTCTCGCCAAAAATACCTTTTTCACCACCTTATGTCATTTTTAACTGCCGAAGGCAATTCATGGGGCTTCATGCAGTAGCATTTCCGACTTCACAATGTGTCAAAATGGACAAACACTCGATTTTTTTGCCACCTGCTCCATTCAAATGCGTGGACCGAGATTCTGTGTCTGCAATAACTCTATGGGCAAACATTGTCCTCCCAGAAACACGCATGACTGACCTATGCGTCCTACTCGCCAAAACGCCCAAATGTTTAAAAAGGCGATTTATAGGGTCCAATTATATATATAACGGTTTTGCCCGTACATAACGTATATTAATAAGCACTGTATGCTCAGTGTTTGTCCGAGAGCTTGCGAAAAAAACCTCACAAGCTTACTCGGTCGGGACTCGAACCCACGACCTCCTGCTTACTAGTGCAGATGTCTTAACCACTCGACCACCGAGCTTGCCCGGGTCGGCTGGCCGGTCCGAGTCAAATGAAGCAGCGGGTACCGCGAACTAGTTTTCAAGATGTATTTTTGCGTTGGGGAGATGTTAATTATATATATAACGGTTTTGCCCGTACCCAACGTATATTAATATAAGTTAGGGTCCAAGTTGTGAAGTTACTCGGACTATTACCCACAGTAGGGCTGTAGGCCTACTGTACATGTACATGCATGTTAAGATTGGGCCCAGTTTTCGGACACAACCTGACAATACAACAGAAAAGAAGCTTCTTTCACAAGGCGTCGTACTTTAATTTTTGTTGACAGTAGATATTTACCGGGCTTGTTATCGATACAGCAGAGAGCCGACTTAAAAACTTATTAAATTGAATGGAATGTTGTAAATTCTCAGCTCACGTTCTACGATGTCTTCTTGTTCATCGCGCCATGTATATGTACATTTCTTACCAAATATATTGCGCCCTCTATTGAGAAAAAAACAGCGCCCTCTACCGACATTTTATACCGGGCCAATAATTAGCGCCCTCTCTTGACAAAAGCAATGGCGCCCTCTACTGATTGATAATCAAACTCGTGCAAAAGTGTTGAATAATAGCGCCCTCTACATTAGTCAAGAGCAATAGCGCCCTCTGCAGTTTGGTACAGATAAAAATTGCTAGTATAGCGCCCTCTACAGAGACTTGACTTTGCCATTTTAATCACTAGCGCCCTCTACAGAACCGATTTTTTTTTTCACTCTACATGTTACCATTTTTAAAACCAGGGTTATTCTTCCACCCCGTACTGATTATAAGTTCTCTGCAAAAACTTTCAGGAGAAGAACGTTAAAGGAAAGGGGACATATGGTTTCAATGGACTGCCTCTGACATCCTGTCATATTTAAATCATTAATTTGTATTCTGTGGCTGTTGCTGATTTCCCTTTAAGTTCCACCCCAAAATTTAATTGGAAAATGATCCTGTTAAAATACACTTAATGTCAATCTAATTAATGGGACATCTCCACAAAGCTCTTTTATATTTAACTTTTCTACTGAAGTACTCAACTGCTACACTTTTCATCCTACATACTATGTACAACTGTTATTGTTTTTTATATGATTTTAAGCTTAAATCAACAGATAGAGGAACATGTGCCTTTTCAGATGACACCAAGATTGCAAGATTTAGATAATCTGTAGACCTTTTATGCTCGAATATATTAAGCATTTTCCATGCGCAACTGGACCTGGTGTACCGCAAAGTCAGAATAACGCAGCAATAAAAAGCAGTCAGACAAGAACCCGCCCTTCCTTTTCCAGATATTTCCCTAACTACTGCAAATAAGGATATGAATCTGACATAAATAGATAGAGGAACATGTGCCCTTTCAGATGACACCAAGATTGCGAGATTTAGACAATTTGTAGACCTTTAGTGCTCGAATATATGAAGCATTCTCTATGCCAAACAGGACCTGGTATACCACAAAGTCAGAATTACGCTGCAATATAAAGCAGTCATACAAGAACCTGCACTTCCTTTTGCAGATATTTCCATAACTACTGCAAATATGGATATAAAACTTATACGACTAGATAGAGGAACATGAGCCCTTTCAGATGACACCTAGATTGCAAGATTTAGATAATTTAGATACCTTTTAAGCTCAAATATGCATTCTCTCTTCGAGTAAAGGACCCGGTATACCATAAAGTCAGAATTGCGCTAAAATGTAAAGAAGTCATACAAAAACCTACACTTCCTTTTGCAGATAATTCCCTAAGTACTTCAAATATCGATATGAAGATTATATGAATAGAAAGAGGAACATGTGGCCTTTCAGATGACACCAAGATTGCAAGATTGAGATAATTTGTAGACCTTTTATGCTCGATAATATAAAGCATTCCCTATGCGAAACAGGACCCGTTGGAGCGTGAAGTCAGAATTACGCAGAAATATAAAGCAGTCAGAAAAGAACCCACCCCCTCCTTTTCCAGATATTTCCCTAACTACTGCAAATATGGATATAAAACTTATATGAATAGATAGAGGAACAAGTGCCCTTTGAGATGACACCCAGATTGCAAGATTTAGATAATTTTGAGACCTTTTAAGCTCAAATATGCATTCTCTCTTCGAGTAGAGGACCCGGTATACCACAAAGTTGGAATTACGCTAAAATATAAAGCAGTCATACAGGAACGGCACTTTCTTTTGCAGATCTTCCCCTAACTACCGCAAATATGGATATGAAACTTACATGAATAGATAGAGGAACATGTGCGCTTTGAGATGAAACCTAGATTGCATGATTTAGATAATTTGGAGACCTTTTAAGCACAAATATGCATTCTGTCATTTTACGTTTGAAAACGGTTGACCTATCTTCAAGGCTAAAATATTAAGATCCACGTCGTCAGGTCGGATAACTGACTATCTTCAGTGGAAAAAGTTTACAGATAAATAATTTATTTTCAATCGCCAAAAGGTTGGGATGTTTATGCCATACCATTTCTTTCCCATATCAATTTGTTGGCAAAACTTATCTTTAGAAAAGATAACTTACTTTTGTGAATTAATATTCATTACGATATTCCCTGTAATTTCATTCTTTTAGTTACGTGCAGATTGTTCTTAGGTACATTATATTTAATTTTGAAAGAAGATAAAACATGAAACATGCACCTATATGTACAATCATATTCGTGTGTGGAATTCTCCACAGGATGAATTGTTCCGTGTCAAAAATGAGCTGATGTTGGAGTCATTTTTGCTGTGGTGTGATTAAGGTCATGATTAATGTTTTAAGCCATAGTTTTGAACATAAATGAACTAATAAACATAAATGTCATATGAAGGAAGAGAAATAAACCCGACTCCAACCAAAGTTACGTGTACACTCCCTATATTACTTAAAAAGCCGAAGCCGTTATCAAACAAAGGAAAGCATGAGAGCCTGTAATCAACAAAAACCAACTTCACGCAGCAAAACTTTCACACATTATCCCTGCAAACTTAACAATTAACAACTCACAGTATTAAAAAGGTATTCCACGTGTGCTCAAACTGGGAAATGTGCCGTATCTTTCAACAATGAGACAAAAGATTTAAACAAGGTGGAATAAAGATGGCATTCTCGGCGTGAGAAGTTAAAAGAAATCAAATTTATTTTCCACATTGACATCTACCAGAGTATTAAAACATTATTGTCGATATTTCATCCAACATGTACCCGCTGAAAGAGGAAATGGTGGCTGAATAAAAGATGTTTACAAACAGATAAATCTTAATGAAACATTAAATGGAGTCCTATTACAAATACACCTGGACCAAAAGGGGCCAGTCAAAATTGTTTTCAAGTGTTCCCTTCAGATTTTCCATAGTCACCCAATTTAAAAATTTTTTTTCTCGAATGACTGCTTTTTTCAGTAAAATCTCCTACCTCTCCGCACGCATTCCTTGTGCATCACACTACAGCTGCTATCTGTTGCTGACAGTACTGGCGTATCAGTGAAAGGTTTTACCTAAATATACTTATAGAAGGGGGCAGTTTTGCAACATTGTCTGCGTACCCCAGTACAGAATTGGAACGGCGTAGTGTTATGGAGATCATTGGAAATCACAAACTCCACAAAGACTGAGCTTTCTAGCATGCTCACTTTCTCTATTTTAGTCAGCCTAGACCAGGACACCGAGAAAAATGGAGAAACTAATAAGAATCGAGATGGCTTGCCTTTGATTGAAAAGTGCCAAAAGAATCACCTGAATTTTAGTTTTTAATGAAAATCATGAACTCCACTCATACTGGGCTTTATGGTATTCTTGATTTAGTTAGCCTAGGTTGAGATGGCTTGCCCTCGATTAAAAAAAAAGCCTTAAGAATCAACTGGTTAAACAAAATAAAAAATGTCAACATCAGAGACTGGGGATAAAAACCGCTGTTATTGAGCCTATCGCAAAAGAAGACACGGACTCTTTGGAATTATCCAAAGGAATTAGTTTTAAGTTTGTGCTATGATCATGCACATAAGGAGAGTGCCCCAGAAGTGGGAAGACTGAGGTCACATATAGTACAGAGCGAGGACTGAGCTCACCGTCGGAAGCATCCAAGTCAGCCAAAGAAAGGAAATGACAGGAAGTCAAAGACCAGAAACCATGTTGCATGCATTTCTCGGCTGGAGTAGACAAGGGCAGATCTAAAAACTAATTAGGGGAGGAGCGTTTTGGGGAGGAAGGGAGCCGAAAATTGAGAATTTCTATGACCTTTTACAGGGTGAGGCTATCTGAGCACTTTCACTCATTTTTGAATGAAGAGAAATTAAATGTATCCAAAAAGTTGCCTTTTTATCAGATTAAAAATATTTTGTTCCTTATACTTTTACTATTGGGGGGGGTTGGGGTGGCTATCCTTGTCCAAGCTCCCCCAGGATCCATAGAACATCTGACTTGAGAGTTTTTACTTTTCATGCCCGCTGTATCTTTTTCAGGTTTACTGCCACTGATTGGACTTTGGCCGCTCTGTTCAGTTTAAATGCCAGACCTGAGCGGACCTTACCAACAAGGTCCTCTTCCCCCTGATTCTAGCGCAGAAAATTTTTTTTTAAATATTTAAATTGACCTTAAGACATACACGACGAATAATAATACGCTCCGAATGGGGTACACGAAAAGGTATGATAAACACACACACTTGCTTCACCTACGAAGTGTGGACATTCCTTTGTTCTCTTGTGGTAATTTGACAAAAATGCTCCTTTTTCGCCCACAAGGATAACTCCTTCCAGCTGGATTTTTGACGATTTCCTGGACTGTTCCTCAAAACACTGCGTGGACGTGTGCGAGTCCACACAACGCCATCCTACCCTACAATATGTGGACTTTTTTTGTGCTATATTAGGCAAGATATGGGACGGAGGGGTACCCCCCTTACCTGTCCGATCCCTACACACACTCTAGACTATTGTTTACCTAACACATCCCCCCTAGAAGTCGGTAAAGAATTCCTGAGATTCCGATTAAACAATGACCAAAACATGGTCGGGGGGGGTTCTCTCCGTCCCATATCTTGCTTCAAATGTTTTGTGCAGAGGTCCTCACTATGTATGCTACGTATGTACACCGTGCAATGGAATAACAGCATGACAAGCTTTTACCATGAGAGCTTTTTACATATCACAGCTAAAAAAAAATATTTAAACAGTTTATGAAAACTAAACACTGATGTAGATAAAGTTATGACAGACGTAGATAATGCAATGACAGTAACCAGTCAAAAACTTTCCGCTGAAAGAAATAACTTCGTGAGTTCGAAGAATGGATCCCCTATTAAATGTAATTAAATCGTATTCCTTTGTTGCAAGTGCCATGAGTTTTTTCTGCTTTATGAAATGTGCCGTGCCGAACGATAAGGGTATATAGAGGTTGAGTGCAATGTTTCTCTGTAAAAAAAACTCCATGGCGGTGACTGCATGGCGACACAAAATACTCGCTTTTCGTCTGAACTTTCTGCTGCTTTTGTGTGCCTCTATCGATGTGCATCGAAGCGGAAATCCAAAATTTATGACTGTACTCTGCGTGTCTGCAATCGGCCCGTCTGACAATGCTAGCTCAGCCTTGTTACGCGACCTACGCCTGCTTTCAGTTTGCTGTATAGGTACAATTATATTAATATTCTGCCCGCTGTGATCTACCCGGAAACAACTTGGACAAAAACTTGCGAGTGGGCTGATTTCAAACTTACTTCAAACTGGAGGAAGCATTACAACAACCCATCCAGGATGATCCCTGTAAGGTTAGTAAAACTGCACTGTATGAGTTTAGAACCTATTTTACGCCCGTAAATTGACCGTTTCTTTATAACTGTACATGCTCATGTACTTTTGAAACCGTCATATTTGGGTAGGGAGTGATGTAGATCCATATCATTTGTGACACTGCCAGTTGAAGCCGTTTCTTTAAAAATACATCTTCCTTCAATTAATTACAGTCTCGGAAATTAACTGCGGAACTTCTACTCGTCCAAGCGCTATTTTTACTTTAAAAGAAAATACTCTTTCAAAATTTTGCAGTTATAAATAAACATTGACGGCGCATTTATAATGGCCTCCTGAGGTGATTTTTTTGTATCACCAAAGGGCAGTTTGTTCTACCAGTTGACCATTCAATACCTTTTTGTATTTATATTGATTGAATTAGACACCTCGCATTCAGATCAGCAATATGTCCCAGAATGGCAGTTTCCCCTTCAAACGTTCATGTATATAATAATCAGTTTTCTTGTACAGCGTATATCGACGCTTATCATCATTATCCTTGCACATCGGGCTCACATCATCTGAATATTCCTGAAACATCTCAGCTCCCTGGGGAGTATACTAGCCCAATGCTGCCATTTCGGCGCAAACGGCTAAACATAACCGTGTCTGCCCTCACAGGTGCCCATTTACTCCTGGGTGGAGAGAGGCACATAGGGGTAAAAGTGACTTGCCCAGGATCACAACATGCTGCCACCAGCTGGATCCGGATTCGAACGTACAAACCCTAGCCACTACGCCAAATGCCTCCATATTTCACACATTTTCATTTCCTTTCTTTCCCTTGAACCACTTTCAGAGCGTTTCACTCTGATCAGGGCATTATTTTTTGACTATTTCTAAAACGGACCCAACTTTTGTGCGCATGTCATAAGCGCAATACAAAAACTGTGGAGGAACAGTATTTTGGTTGCTATGAACCTCTTGTTGTTTGGTCCATTGGAGTGCATGTCAAATGAATAAAAACGAACGTGTCAAATAACATTTTACGCACTCCCTGGGTGGTACAATGTACATGTACCTTTTGTCCGGCAAGCGTTTTCAATAGAAGTGTTGTGAGTGATTCAATATGTAAATTTAGGGGTAGTCCCGTATTTTTTGTGAACCGCCTTCCTGCAGTTCACGCATCACTAGACATTTTATGTCAACAGGTTTATTTGAAAGCCAGAGACCAACGCATTTCCCTCCATTAAGCATACGCACAATATGCCTTCAAATAACCAAGGTCTTAACCGCCAGGACGTGGTGCCAACAAGTTTTTCCGGCATGCTTGCGTGCAGAAAGTTTAAGAAGTATAATTTCGCTCTAACGCAAAGAGGTTATACGCCGATTAGTATAATGACGTTAAAACGTTTTGATGCAGGAACCTTTCATTTGTACAAAACAACATCAGTTATGTGAACTCATTATTTGAATTGTTGGTAGACATTGCCACAATTATAATTACTGCTTTTTTAATTGTGATTTTGAGGCAGTGTATGCCTCGTGATATCAAATTACTATGATTCATGCCTATACATGTGATCACTCGAGTTGTGCGTATTTTTAAGTCATCAAAGTGTCGTAAACTATCAAATTACAAAACAGCTGAAAGAACATTTAGAGAAGGGTTAAGCGGTAACTTTTGAATTCAATGAATCCAATGAAATGTTACGTTTACATTTTGCAGAATGGTGCTTTGTCGCGGAAAATTTTATTGAGGCACAAAGTTCCGTAACTTTCACTTCTGGGATCACTAGAAGCGCAAAGGTGGATAACTTAGTTGTGGAAGGACAAGACAAACCAAATGACTACACTGTTAAAAACATTATGACAGAGACTACAGGATGGATAATGAGGTCATTGAATGAGGGCGCCCCCTAGTGGCACATCAAAGAAGGTGGATTTTTCAAAATCGAAATTGACGGCACGCGAAATGCATTTGTCAAAAAGAGCACAGACACATGTTTGGTCATGAAATATTATTTTGTGAAGGATAAAATAATTTATTCATCATACTGGATGTTCTGAGAGGAATCTAGAGATGATAATTTTCCTCTTTATTTGAACTTTATTAGCCTACCTCAGAGATGCCATCTTGCACGAACAAACGCGACCAATTATTTTACCCAATGATAAATATCAACGTCCTTTAACGTCATCAAGATGGAAGTTGATTAAGCCCTATGTCCTCGTATTTCTAAATAGTTGTAGCAATAATCAAACACGAAGGTTTTATTTGACCTACTTCGTTTTCTTGTTTACTTGCTGTCTGGTATTATGGCTTTGTTTAGGAGATTTAGGTTCTTGCACAGGAAAAACTCAATAATTTCTTTTACATGTATGTCTTAATAATAGTTTTAGCAAGATCGTGTAACTGAATGTTTCTTTTAATCAATTATGGTTGTTGTGTAGGATCTGGTGCATGCAACCTTCTGGACTGCAGTAATGGTTTTAATAGAACACCATACTCTCCACATGGTGGATATGATTATGTTTAAGCTTGAATACAAAAGTGATAATATTTTGAGGCCTTTTCCAATGATTGCAGACAGAAAACAATGTACCCTGTGACATCGCCCCTTCCCAGACCACTTCAGACAGGAAATTTACTCTGTTGTCTATTTTGGAACTAGGAAATTACCGCAGAGACAAAGTCGCTTGTCGGCAACATTACTCATGCAGGTCTTGCTCTTCCGAAATACACAATTAGTCATAAATTAGTGATTGTAGGACGTAATGCGTTGCTTTCTTTTCATTGCAAAGGCCATTTACGTTTTAGCAGGCGACATTACGCTCCCTGTTATGTTCCCATAAATGTCCATGTATTGACGATGATGACATTATTACATGCATTAGTTAAGTTCCCTCATTCTTTTCAACCGTCCAATCCAGAGGAGTAGGCCTATGTTATTTGTCCAACAATTCTGTCAAGATGCTGTTATGTTTACGGGCATTTAAATTCAACATGAAACGTAATATCTGAATACCATACCTGTGTTAATTAAGAAGTCGTTGTTTTTGTGGAAATCGTTGTGTTTTGAACAGAGACAGGGTTTGCCTGAGGGCCAAGCGACATCGAACACAACATGGTCTATTGCAAGCCGTGCGATAGCGCTTGTACTGTGTGCTATCATGCGATGTACATGTACACTGTACATGCGGGCGTTCTGCCGATGATGTCATCAAATTAGGCCTAGAGCACGAACGGCCAGAAAGGGGATTTTTTTGTGGGCGGGGAAATGCAGGGTCTTTTTATTCATTTCGGGCTCACGATTAATCGGGTAAACATTGAAAGTCATGATTTTTTGAAATGGTTACGTATTTTTGTAGTGTTTTGAAATACTTCACGTGAACTAAATGTTTTCAATTTCTGTCCACCTTTAATTCTCATTTTCTTTGACCAGGACAAGTTCACAGGCCTACTGTGTGGCGATACTGACAGCTCTTCAACTGGTTGTCTACTTCAGCAACCCGCTTGATGCAGTCAGACTCGACCGGAACGGAGATTGCTGGCATACTTCTCCAGCAGGTGGTAAGTAGAGTGAAAGATGTTCTCAGTGTTGCCCTCTAGAGTTTTGTCTGCTTTATTTTATTTCGGGTCTGTGATTTTCTGCTTCAGCAGCGATTTTCTTTTCACGCATGAACATAGATTAACAGAACTTGCAAGAGGCGACGGCCTGCATTAATTATCAAACCCAGCGGGCAAAAGTCTTCCCTTCCCTGACAGGCCGAAAGGTATACACGTTAACCAGCGACTGACTTGAACGGTGGACTGGTACTCTAGTCTGACTGGAGTGGGGGGGGGGGGGGTTGTGGTCGACCTTTTTCTGATTTTAACTTTCAGCGGCTTTTTTTTCTGAAACAGTGTAATGTATATACTTGAAAGGCGACACGAACATCAACCCTGTTCCCTGGATGTGCGTACATGTGTGACATTATTACGACGTCTTCAGTTATCAGATTAATTACAAGAGATTTTACTCTTCGAAATGACCTTTCTCTATAAGCTGTATCTCATTAACCCTGGATGTCAAACTATGCATACTTTCATGACGTCACTGTAACGTCATCAGGTATCATATTAAAAGAATTAAATTGAATGAAGTAGCACGTCCATATTGAGAGACCTGAGAGATAGTAATTTCAGTACCAATTACTGACTGCCAAGTAGGTCGAATGACACTAACTGCCGAATAAGTCAAATATGGCATTGACTGCCAAATAAGTCAAATGAAACTGACTGCCAAATAAGTCAAATGACACTGACTGTCACCTGAGTTTAATGACACTGACTGCCAAGAAGGCCTGGAAAAATGACACTGACAGCCAAGTAAGTCAATGACGCTGACAGCCAGGCAAGTCAAATGACACTGACTGCAAAATGAATAAGTCAAATGACACTGACTGTCACGTCAGTCTAATGACACTGACTGCCAAGTAGGCCTGGACAAATGGCACTGACTGCCGAGTAACACTGACTGCTAAAAATGTCAAATGACACTGCCACATACGTCTAATGAAACTGACTGCCAAGTATAAGCCAAATGACACTGACTGGCAAGTAAGTCTAATGACCCTGTCTGTCAAGCACTCCTAAGTCAAATGACACTTACTGTAACGTAAATCAAATGACACTGACTGCCTGCTAAGTCAAATGACACTGACTACCAATTAAGTCAAATGACGCCAACTTCAGGGTTATTCGGAAGTGCAGTATTGGGCTTCAGCAGTAAAACAAAATTATTTTGCACCCAGCAAAACACACCAAAACTAATACGAGTGTTATTAAAAAAGGGATCAATGACATGATAACATTCAGGTGCACCCGTTTAAATTAATTAATTTGTGAAATTTATAAATAATAACGTCATCATCCCAGAAATTATTGAAGGGACACATTTCAAGATGATCATATTTGACCCTGCTTTGATTTAATGTACGATTGCGACGTTTTACGTGTATTTACGGTGAAATTAGCCATCTTGCGCCGCTTGGCGGCGCTATACGATCTTTGGTTGGGACACACAGCTGAACCCTTATCGCACCAGTGTAACGGTCTCATTTATCTGGCATGCTCGGATATCCAGGCATTCACCAAACACTGCCGAGCGACCGGAACTAGTGCCCAAATGTATGCGCAGTAAGTCCTGTTTGGTCACTTTAATGGGTGTGCTGAATTCCTAACAACCTCGACTACAGAGGCTGCGTGCGCGTTCGAATTAAGATTGCTCAAGGCGTGTTGGGAAGCAGCGTATGGAACTGCAAGATCGTACCAATGAGAACGAGGTTGCGTGTGTACATGTACTGACCGTGGAAACCTCTCCAACATCTGCACTCATGGCCATAGAGTTGGATATTATATCCAATTCTATGGGCTCGACATATATGACCCAGTATGATTGCACCAGCCCCGATCTCCCAGTCTCATATGCATTCCTTCGTACGCCTAAGCCTCCGCGCGCGCCAAATGCGGGACCACAGCGTACGTAGGCCTACGTACGCAACTGGAAAAATCAGCACGGCGGATAAGTGAGCACGTCGCGGCAACGTGCTCATTTATCCGGCGCGTTCTTCTGGAAATCCGAGCACGCCGGATAAATGAGAGCGTTACAGGGGAAAAAGAGGTCACGCAGCTTCAAACAATTTATCACCGCTGGACAGTTGGGGTGCCTGTCAGAAATTGGGTCATTTGGGGTCACGCACACCTTGTGGCCACCCTGATTTTTATGGCGTGAGGAAGCTAACTGACTTGATCTTATTAGACACACCGAAGAGAACATTCGGTCACTTTTGCTTGAGCAGCCGTGTACCCTGCTCAGTGCCACCATCTTGCTAGGATGCAGCGTGCCCCCTTCTTTCTTGGTTGGTGTTCTTTCAATGTTCAACTTGGCCGATTCTGGAGGATTTCGACACCGTGAAGTGGCTGCTGTACACGGTTGTCATTATTTCAGCGGGGCCATAAGGGAATCCCCTTTTTTCCAAAATGGTTTTTTTTGGGGGGGGGTTCCTGGAATCAGCAAGGTCACCGACTTCGGTGGAATTTCATTCAAAGGCGCCGCAAATAGACCTTAAATATTCGGTCCATATCAATCAATTATTTATGATAATTACTTCGGGGAATATGCGGAGAAAACACATTGGCCTGCTTCTTTTGACAGTGAGGCACAAAATTATTCAGGGGTCAAAGTGGAGAAAGCCACTTTATACTGTAGCTAATTTTGCTGAAAAGACATATTTATATTATTGGCATTTAGCCTCTGTGCCTATTGGTCATACTGCAGCATGATCGCACTTGAAGTCTGCTAGTTTGGGCTGAAAAGTGGTCACAGCTACGTATACATCATTATGTTAAGGCCAATGACTTGTTATGGTATGGCTAATGATAAGTTGGCTCTGTCGATATTGTCTAATCGATTAATTTTCTTCGGTGGCATGATTCATATTAATTTAACCGCACTATACGCATTTGGAGATAAAATTGTATCTATCGATTGTGCCGGTAGGTACAAAATGAAGTTCGGCGTCATCAGCTTCGGGCGGGAACACTTTGAAACAATTGGTTATAGCTTTTGTGTTGTGCTAATAAATGTAGATTAATTGCAGTCTCGTGTAATCGCCAGCAGGCAGGAAAAATCTGTGTCGATTGCCAATAAATTTGTGCTTTGCTCATATAAATAACAGTTTCATGTCATCATCTTTTGGCGGAAGAGATTTGAGACAGTTGTTTATACCTTATACTTTGCTTCTGTTAATTGCAGCTAGTTCCGCGTAATCAGACGGGAACAATTTGAGACAAGATATCTTAGCAATGTGTTGCTTCTAAACATATGCGCTTTGCTCCAAGACCTGAGCCATGTTCAATAAACCGCTACTCAAGCCACAAGGACAAAGAATTAATATCCCATGCGAGTGTTCACCCGGCTCTGATTTTCCGTCTGTGGGTCATAGTCTCATCACGGGGATAATGGAAAATAAAAGTTTCTGCCCCGTACCAATGTGATTGAAATTCTACCGATGGGAGCAAACCCTCAATATTTCATCAACCGTTATGAAACTGTTGTCTTTCAAAGCAGTACTTGGAAGGTAAAACCAGGAATCCAATTCACGATTACAGCTTTGCCTTGTATTTAGTAATCCTTTAGTGGATTGGGGCGGACCTCCATATTTCCACCATACGAGTCCTGTTTCCAGATTTCTGATTTTTAAAATATTTATTCCTGATTGAAATAACTCAGAATTAGGTGTCGAGGAAGACAGCGTGCAGACAGGTCTACCAGCTTACAGGATACTGAACAAGATAGATGGCAGCATCTACATTGGATCAAATGAAACCCTCACGAGGTTGTCCATTGATGACAATAACCAATTATCTGAAAGTCAGGTGGGATATCTAGTTTCATTAGACGGCAATGTGCGTTTGCTGTTAAATCCGAAGGGTGTTTTGCTATTGTACGCCTTAATCCGTTGTCAAAACGCAAGGCAATACCTGTTTGGGGCGTTCTCGTGTAGGCGCGCGGGCAAAAAATAGCAGAAAAGAAAAAAAAGAGAAATTTCAAAATAAAGATTAATGTTTGAAAATAAATAAACAGCTTGGATCTCCGGCAAGAGACTGCATGATCGTCTCTGTGATAAGTAACGCCCAGCAGATATTTTGATTGGCCAGAACAGAGGCACCACTTGGTATATCAGAAATTACCGCTTTCTAAGATCTCTAGGTTAGCGCTGCAGTGTTGACATTACCTTGACACTTCTCGACTACCCTTTGTTCGGGCAGCCGGGTACATGGTGTACGCTACCATTAATATTAGTCACAAACAAAAGCTAGACAATCGGCTGTGTTTCTTCATTTGTCCTTCACTTGATCGAATAAAAGTGGAAAAGGTATACATGTGCATTTTTGGCTAACTTTTATCGGGAAAATGTGCTCTCTGTAAAAATGGTATGTTTGATTTTCGCAAAATTTGTGTCCAAATGACCACAAAACTTTTTCTATAATCTCCTGAAAAGGTTAATTGAGATTTTTAAAAACACATTGTGGATTTTTTGCATTTTTTATCAAGTTGAAGATCGGTACTTTTCAGGAAGGAGTCTTTGCGCACACGGCTCACCACGCGCACGCCAAGTCCATAATAATTATAAGGAGATTATTCTGGACAGCTATAAAATAAAATGGAAGGGGTGCTCGGGAAAATGAAAATAAAATTCTGCAACAAAATCGTTGGAAATATGTCACATATTGGCTTCTTTTGGCTCTCTGACTAAAAAGGTGTTTATGAATGGGAATATGTGTGCTTGGCAGATGTTAAACTGTAGTTTAAGACCGGCTATAAAATGAAAATGGACGCTACTACATGATCAGCGTTTAAGACCGCACGTTTAAGACCGATCAAGCACATATTATTCCGTATTAATACAGAAGCGGCAGATATTTATTTTCCTGAACAAATAAGGTTCTTTGTCTAACCTCTGGGGAGATAACTTAAAACCAATTTATGGAATACGTTTGGTTGACCTTTTGATTACTTCTTATCCATTTCAGATTACGCTTCAGACAATGGAACCAACGCTTGTCGTAAATTGCGCAGCCCAAAATCCAACCAATAAAGAGGTGAGGTGAATTATTCTGGTCATTTAAACGTTTTTTTGAATGAGCTAGCATTTACAATCTTTTAATAAGATATATTAACTTATATTTGCCTACACAGACCGTCTGTTGGAACTTCATACGTATTGCAGAAAGAACAAGTTCGGGTCAACTTTTGGTGTGTGGCACAAATGCGTTTAGCAGGCGGTGTTATGTGGTAGGTATGCTTTATTTTTATCTTCAATTCAATTGGATATATCCTATTTCAAAGTCAAACCAATATTCAAGGTGTCGATCTTAAAAGAGTGTAACACAAGGGTGCCTCGAGAATAACTGATTCAGTGACTGGAAATATGAATCGTAACGGAGAAGGCCTTACGTTTGGATACTACCTATATCTGTAACTATCTTCAACAGTTTTGGCCTTGCTTCCAAAACTGTCGCCGCGTATTTTTTCTCATAAACGCATCAATAGGTATACACCTTCAATGAGCGTTATCTTTAGTAACTTTGATTCCCTTACGTAATGTCTAGCGTTTCTGATTCAATTCCCTCGATCATTGGCTCAACGATACGTTTATTGTAGTTTTGATGATTTCATGAGATGGGATCAATAGTGACTCTGAGCCTCACCATAAATTTTTGTTCATGTTTGATTCTTGATGTCACTCGTAGGCCTATACCGACAAGGATACGTGAAAACAAATTAGCGAGCTTGGCTTCAAGTTGATTGATGGGCTCGTGCGGCGCAACTGGATTTCTTAACGACAGTAGAATCTGACAGTGTCCATCACCTAATAGTAATGACATGTATATGGGACCATTAGAAATCATGCGTATGGGATAAATACCGTACGGGACATGATGGCTAAATCCCAGCTTTATACACTGTAATCAACGGCCATTTTAATTCGATGTCCTTGCGTATACACACGTAGGTTTTTTTTAATAACTGTGCAAACCGGTCATTTAACCACCCAATTTTTGAGCCGCATATTTATCTCTCATCTGCCTTTTTGTCTAACGAAGACCTTTTGACCCCGAACCGATGGCTCATCCAGCCGCAGGGATGCATAACTAATTATGGTTTAGCCACCTTCCCCACGATAGGCCAGGATGGGTTTCTGTGAGGATGAAAGAACGGACAATCGCTAAGACGGAAAAGTCCTCACTTTGCCCACCCCCTTTTGCCCCGAAACATGCTGAATGAGTATGGAATTGAATCATCAGCCGTTTGCGAAGTGATTCTAACTGTCGTTGTCACTTACTGTTGTGGGTGTTCTTTACGTTGAACGTGAGGTATGCAGTCTGATGCAGAAGCTGGGAATGGCTTCACCAAAGTCACTCAGTTCCCCCTTTTTGTTTTCGTTTTGTTTCTGTTTATTTACAGTGCACATCAGAACCACTGAGTTGTGACAGGATCACTGCAAATTCTTCAAATCTCGTCTTTGTTCCTCAGCAAATTGACGTCGCTGCATCGGCAGCTGTCATCAGTAAGCATTTCGTTTCTTTTTTTCAGTAGAGATTTGGTGAACGTCCATTAGAGGACACAACTGTACCTATACTTCGTTCAAGGGCAGAAATATGAAACTTAATGTTCAGATGCTTTTTACAGAATTTGAAGGGTCTGCCTTTGAAGAAGCATTTTCACAGGTATCACGTGGGGAAGTTCAAAGCCATGACGATGAAAAGAACTCAAATCTATCATTTTTTTTATTCAAACCGATATAACTTTTGTTCTTTAATAACACAAGTACGCCATGTGTGTAGAGTGTCTTAATGGGGTAGCCTGCATTTTGCTATGGTGACGGGGGGGGGTCACTCGGCGGGTTAGTTTTAAACACCTACCGTCAGGACTTTTCGGCAGGCCTGTCCCCCCTGCATACCCTCTTGGATAAGGGATGTGTGTGTGCACACCTTTGAGGAGAAATCGAGTATTAAAATCAATTCTGTGTAGAGACTCCACAATCTTTAACCCCTGACATTTTAAGTTTAGAAATCTAACATAGGGAGATCATGTCAAGGGCAGAAATAAGAAGCCGTAATTCCAACTCGGTTGAGGTATTTTTTGGTTAGTTCTTAAGTCACCCCCGCGCGCAGCCCAGCAATTGATAATCAAAATTCGCACAAATTACAAAGGTTTTTAAATACCAGGACCTTTTTTCGGTGTTTATGTCGGAATTAGCCATTACAACTTTTTCTATTTTGATGATTTAGAGAATGTGAATTCATTTTACCAAATATCTTACTCTTAAAAAAGCAGTATAAAAGCAAAAGGTTTAGCACTTTTCCTGTCTATACATCCATCGTAACAGAATAAGTCTTTTGCGAATTAAATTTGAAACAATCTGGTAGAATTCAAATGAACATAGCGATTTGAATTCTCCATACTAAAGATGCTGTTGTTACACCTCGTGATTTGGGGCACGTTTTTGCTTAGCTACATAAGAAGCGCCTTGGCCGCCTTGCACCAATACAATTTTTTTAATGGATAAGAAGTGTATAAATAACCAGTCCCTTCCAGAGATGGTGGTCGCTATGCAAATGCTTGCCCCCAATCACGCGGTATATCAACAGTGTCTTTAGTCTGGAGAATTCAAACTGTTATGTTTATGTGCTAAACGGTAACCCGGTGTACCAGATTGTATTCAACTTTAGCACGCAAAAGGCAATTATCGACACTAATTATGAGTCTAAGTTTCATCCGTGACAACAGGCTCTGTCCATAACTTCTGTTTTAGACGGTGGCTCAGCTGGTATGCTGTATGGTGGAAGTAGAAGGGATCAGGATACGACTTTCAACAGATATGCTTTAAATTCAGACTTGAACATAGCCAACCCTATCACGTTTCAGTTGGACACAGTCGTTGTTGGGATGGGCTTCATCAACGGTAAGGCACACAGAAAAGTGTTTGCTCGCTTTTGTCATTTATCAAGCAGCTCAGAAGAATGTGGGCCCTACAGTCACTTATTTTCAACTTTCTGTGCTAACCCAAACTGTGATTGGTTTATCTGGAGTTCTAGTCGCTATGACATCGAGTATCTCGAAGCAGCAGCGAATGGAGCAATAAACACGCAACAATGATACGAAGCGTAAATTGCCTATGATCACTATTCGATATTTTCCTCCCATATAAAAAGCTTTATAGGTTGGTTTTCAGTGGCTCGGTGGATTGGTCTGGAAGGCCAGTCTTTACGTATATTCGTCCCCTCATAAAGCTCTCCCGAAAGGTCAAACACTTGTAATCCGTCCTGAGTGGCTTGGAAAAATCGTACAGCAATATAAAAATCATTTGTCGCATGGAAGCCATACTTTTACATAATTTCCTTGCATCCTGCTTATCAGTTAAGAGCATTCTTGCCAAACTCCCGGTTGTGTGTTTCCTGAAGAGCACCTTTCACTTGCTCATTGGCCATTCAGGCAGATTTCCTGCTGACACTGTAGCTTTTTACAATTAATGGTTGAGGCAAATTGATGCGATGAAATTTTTATGTACATGTAGCTCCCATGTTGTTTATTCTTTGAAATTGAGAATGTCACTGAAAATTACAGACTTCAAATGAGGAAAGGCCGAACAATCCAGACCATTAGAAATATGGGTTTTTAACTCTTTTCCTGATTATGAATTATTCAAAATTGTGTACTTTGTATGTACAGATCTGTTTCTGACGCTTATTGATGCTAAACTTTGGCCGATATAATGCAAAAGCATCTTGAAAATCGTTGCCCGATGTCTTGTTCGTTTGTATCAGTTCGCTTAATAAAGACATGTAAATGCAATACGTGCTTTCTCTGTCACCTTCAGAGGGAACCTTCGTAGGCAGGCCGTTCGAATACACTCATGATGATGGGCGTGAGTTTGTGTTTTTTTTCTACCGTGAGAATGCAGTGGAATACACCTCCGGAGAAAAAGTGTTCTCTCGCATCGCGAGAGTGTGCAAGGTACGTGGGCCTAATTGTCTGATCTGAACGCGCAAGTGCTGGAATATGTGTCTGTACCATCAGATTCGACAGAATTTAAATTGTGCCTTTAAATTGGAATTGCTGCTTTCACGCGCGTGTTTAGTTGAAGCACGCAGAAAGTATCTTGTCCAATAGCATCTACACTTTAATTCGAAAGTGTTAATGATTTAATACATAAATAATAACTGCGTAAAGACTGCCGTGGAGAGAGTAACTTCCAGAGGTGCCGAGAGAGTGAATGTTCGGTACCCTTCGCATTGTGGAACAAAACATTTCTTCTGTATCAAATGACATTATTCTATCCATTGCTCGAATGCCAAACATAACTGTTTGTATTTTAAACGCTCGACTAAGTTATTTTGCAAACTATATACAGATGGCCATTTTAATTTATCGGCCTGACTTAAACTGCAACAAGCTGTTTTCACTTGCAGAATTAGTTCATACTTTAATATTCACTTTTAAGGATACGTTCCTTTCATTCTTTCAACGCTTGGTGGCAGCAAATGATACGTCTTCTGTAGAAGTTGGTCTTATTATTGGGGTATTGAACTCACAAACTCTGTTCTAATGGCATTCAGATTGTTTGGTGGGTGTCCTCTGCCCCCTGTAACCATTAAAAACCGAAGAAACAAGGTCAGAATACCTTTTTTTAGTCCTTCGGGATGGGGGGGCACAGCCATAGTCTCACAACGGCCCAGCCACAATCACACCCCCCCCGGCCCACCACCACCATGAAAAAAACAGACGTGTCTACAAACACCAGAGAGACTGGACACCCTTTACTGGGTCGTTGACATTGATCTACGACAGTCCTGGTGTTGCCGAGGGCCTGCGATGTAAACACTCCCATTGCGGCACGCGGGGAAGAGGTTTATACACGGTTAAATGGGACTTGCCCAGAGCCCTGACGTTAAAGGTGACCAAACCATATTGTTCTGCATGAACAAAGGTAGAAGTAGATGGGAGGTGGATACAGTCGCCGGAAAAATTTTGTTTGATCATGAAACTAGCAAACAACACATCAAAAATAGATAAAGTTCATTCTGTGAAGAGATTTACCAGCCCTGAGCAGGTGCACGTTGTTCTGAGCATGCCTACGTTGCTATGAGCATGCGCTAGACTGTGAAAAGGGAACAGAATGTCTGCTGCCCCCCGCAACT